TCCCTACCCTGCCCTGCAGAGCCACAGAGCTCTTGGGCACTCGGAAGTGACCTTTAGGCTATACAGCTGATCCTGCCAAGGCTACAATTTTACAAGCTGCTTGGCTGGCTGCATCGTCTTCTGGACTGGATGCAAGAGGAAGCCACAAACTTTTGAGAGCTAGCAAAAATGCTTTTCCCTTAAAACAGGCTTAAAAACCTTGAACTGCTTCATCTGTGACTAAGAAGAGTGAGATGACTCAGGCCATCCTGAGCACATTTACGAAGAGGATGAAATGTAATACTTACTGATGGCCCATCCAGTGCATGAAAGCACAGCAAGACTCAACGCCCAAACCCAGACAAATTTCTATTTGGAGAAGGAATAGCAGCTGTTTTAAAAAGAGCAGCTAGAATTAACCACTGGGAAGAAATTCCTTCCAACAACACAGGTGCAAGTGAGTGATGGGTCACAAGCAAAGATATTCTGGACAAAGACAAACAAGGGTATTTATCCAAAGCCTGTTCTTCTGCAATAGGTGACCCCAGGGAAGGGTCTATTGTCCCATCCACAGGAGAAGTCAGACCAAGACAAGCTCCTGACCCAGAGATACTTGGCTCCACAACTGGACTCCATGTTCTCTTCCATGGAAGCAACAAGGGAACTCTGGTTCTTGGCACTTTCCAAACCCTCCAGTGTCTCCATCTCCGGGAAACCATCAGGCAGCAGAGGGTCCTGCTCAGACAGGGCATACAGAGGCAAAGCTGTACCACAGCTGTCAGAAACCCCTCTCAGAGCACTGTCAAAGTAAAACCCTTTCCCATCTCTCCCTGAGGCCACACTGAGATGCTGTTCAAGCCTCCTTGAGCCCAAGCACCGACCTGGCTCCAGCAAGGGCTGAGGAAACAGGGACAAATTATCCTTCTGCAGTGCAAAGTTATAGGCTCCATTTGTTTCCTCTCAGGAATCAGACAGGGCAGTTAAGTGTCTTGATTCTACCAGATAATCAGAATTTATCTTGTCTCCTTTTGCCTCCTTTCTCTCAATCACAGCTACTTCTCCCTCTTTCTCACACATACACAGATTTTCTTCTTTCCTCAAGTCCTGAACTTTGATTGACCTCAGGAGCTTCTTTTTTTTTGCTATTGGTGCATCTTGTTTTGTTCCTGCTCAGATTTTCTTATATTTTTTTAGGTTTGGCTGCATTATGGGGTGTACTTTTCCATCCCATAGAGGAACTCTTGTCTCAGCATCTTGCTTGCAGCTGTAAACCTCTACATTTTTCTTGCCCTTTCACTTTGCCAAGGAGAAAAGTGGGAAAAGGGGTTGCACACCCCCAATTCCTCCCCACTGGTTTTGCTTTCAAGAGGGGGATGAGAAAGTAGAAAAACAAACTCAGTCTCTGGGAGAATCCTATTGCTCCCAGAGAGTTTTGGAAGGGCTGAGCCCCAGGACCGGGCAAGAGTCAGAGGACAAAGAAGCTGTCTGAGCAAGATGCTGCCACAGGAATGGGCTGGGGAAGGATGGAGGGCACTGGGATCCAACGAAAGGGGCAGGTTTCTAATTAGTTGCTTAATAAGCTGCTCTCTTAAAAGGTCTGATCTATACCCAAGTGGAGTTAATAGGAATTTCTCTGCTGACTGCACTGGCTTTTGGGCTCAAGATTTCAGGCATCAGCTATACTTTCATATAAAAAGCATTTTAATCCCTGCTTTTAACAAGCTGTGCCTATTCCTCCTTGATCCATCGTTCTCACCCCTCCCGAGCTCTGGATTGGATCTGCACACAGTCACCACGCAGCCTCTTGGCTCCTGGGTGCTCAGCTTTTGGGCCAGGGGCTTCGCAGGGCAAAAAACCTGAATCTTCTAAGTAGCAGCAGAAAAGGGACCAGAGACCTCAGGGACTCTGGGAGGGAAGCAGCAGGGAGACTGCCCTGATGCCAAGAGCAATGTTTGTGGTCCTCCACCAAGGTCACGAGACAGCACAGGGAGCCCTCAGCTGCTATTCCACTTCTCAAACCAGCAGAAGCTTAGTTAAAAATCATTTTAGCAGCTGCACCCTGCAACAAGGGATTCCTTTACACACAGATCACCACCACACTTTTACTCCAAAGTATCTGCCACATTTCCTTAGCTCCCCATCCTTCCTTGGAAGGGAGATGGGACAACTAAGTTCCGTTCCTTCTCCCAGCAGCCCTGTCTTCCTGCCCCAGTCACCCCAGCACAGGCCTCTCCAGTCTGCCCAGTTCATCACAGCAGGCTGGACTCTGATGCACTCAGTGCCAGGATTTGATGGATTTGATCTTGAAATTCCAACCCTGTTCTTCTCATTTGTCACCTGCTCCCTTTTCTTTGCCTATAATTCATTTTCTCCTTCACCTTTCAGAAAAGGAAAATAAACGAAGGAAAAAGAGCCCTTCCATGGATGTTTTCCCAAAGATTCTGAAAAGAAAAGATGAAATGCCAATATTTCTGTGCTGCTGAGCAAGCTCTGAGCAATGGGAGGGAGAAGAAAGGACAGTGACTCCCTAGCAAAGAAAATAAAGCAAAATAAAGGAGGTCATAGCAAGTGGGAGCTGCTCCCAGGTTTGGCATGAGGCTTCATCACCTTCCCAGGAAGGATGAACCCAGAGCTGGGGACAGAGTGCACAGGAGACTCCACCTGATGTGAAGAGCACAATGTCAGTGTGGGGGGCTAGGAGGGCAACCAAGGCACATGTGGGCCCAGGAAATCTCTTGCAACGACCAAGGTCTCTCCATCTCCATTCCTTGGGTGAACAGTAACAGCAAAACTCCTGCCACTCGACCTGCTGAGATTAAACTCTGATCAATATCATTCAGCTATGTTCTGGGCTAAATAAAAGGACACCACAGGTACATGGGCAACCCACTCATCCATAGCCAAACCTTCTTCCCAGAGCAGGTGTCTCCTAGCTCATTTCATAAGCACAACCTCAACAGATACTCTCTGACCTCCTTCTCAGAAAGGGCTCAACCACTTGAGCCAAAACTTTCCAGAAGGACTCAGCAAAAAGTTTCCACTTCTACAAGTCAGGCTGAGCTCAATGTTACACCTTTCTCTTGCCAGGTGCTAATGGGGAGCATCACCTTACCCCTTGCCACGGCTGCCTCCACTCCGATTACTGTGCTGCAGAGCGAGTCACAAAGGGCAGGGAGACACCAGCACCTCCTTAAGAGTGTCTCATAATACAGAAATAAGAGCAGTTTTTGCCATCAAAAAACAGGAGCTCTTCACCAGTTATGGGGGGGAGAAAAAGCTCTGGACCACCTGGTCCAGGAGCCACATGTATAACTGTCCTCATATACAGGAGCAAAAGGAGCCAAACACAGAGGTGACAGGGAAGAGGGAAAACAAATCTGTGCAGTAAAACCCATTTCTGAGGAAGTTTATCAAGCTGGGAAGTGAAAGGCACAGCAGAGAGTTGTCCCTAGTTCCTCAGATGCTCGGGGACAGAGCCTGTAATTTCTGTGCTGCATTTAGTTATTTTAAGTGGGGAGTCAGTGTTGAGACAGAATCCATAAGCAGAGCTGACAGCCAGCAGTAAAGCTCAGAGAGAGGCATCGCCTGCCTCTGGTTCCCCCCAGCACTCACAGAGATGTCTGAAAGGGTGTTTAAAG